GATGTTTGACAGGAAAGAAGGAGAGACAAGGACAATAGATGTTTGACAGGAAAGAAGGAGAAACAAGGACAATAGATGTTTGACAGGAAAGAAGGAGAGACAAGGACAATAGATGTTTGACAGGAAAGAAGGAGAGACAAGGACAATAGATGTTTGACCAGAAAGAAGGAGCAAACCACAGGTGTCCATGCCAGGGTGAAAAGCCTAACCACTACGCCACAGACACTGCTCTATGCTGGCCAGTGAAGTACACTCATTTCTGAAATACATTATTTGTTTCAGGGTTCCTGCCATGAACTAGCCACCAAATTCAAGGAGATTTCAAGGAGGTTTCAAGGAGAAATTTTTTTAATTTAAGGAGATTTGGTCAAGAAATTCATGCCGAAAGCCTATTTCCGACAGACCTACTTTTGCCCGAAAGGAATGGTAGTTTCGATTTTCCTACAAAACTTTTGTTTATGTCCGATCCTGCTAAAATTCAAGGAGTTTTCAAGGATGTTCCTCGAATCCAAGGATATTCAAAGGAAAGTTTTCCTTAAATGCAAATTCATGGAGTTTTCAAAGACTCCTTGAATTCAAGGAGGCTGCAGGAACCATTCTTTTTAAAATGAAAAGTATAACGTCTTTCACCACCAGGGGGGGTTTCCTCTCCTATCTGTGACCTACTTTCTGATTCTGCCTACTGTCGGGCAAATTAAAGGTTTAAAGTTCAACTTTCAATATTAGCCACATGAATTATAATATACGAAAATAAGGGGGAAATAATGACCTATCTATGGCCTATCTCAACATGTTGCTAAAAACGATCATTCTTCAGTCTGAGATTTCAGTTTCGAACGTTACAAAAGTAGGTATGGTTCTGAAGCAGGACGTGGCGAGCCGTGAAACACAGCTCACAGTAATGAAAGAGTTAAGGAGACAAAACAAGTTAGTGAACAAACACAAAGAGCTCTGGAGGAGTAACAAAAGAGGTACAAGAAACAGTTCACTTACAGAGATGATCCGGTCTCCTATCCTTAGGTTGGTTTTTGATGCAGCGCCACCTTTCACAATCTGGAGAAAAGAACAAGAGGGTATACCATGATGTTACATATATAACACAAATCTTTGTGAGCAGTATCATGAATTGAATGTCGGCTTATGTGTTATCGTTAATCTCAAGAACAGACGTACTCATGCACATTGACTCATGTGTTTTGTGCTGAAGGTATTGTAAAGGGTTTTGAGCTGTATTGTAACTGTGTGGGTACTTTAGAAATGATTGGTATTATTATTATTATTATTATTATTATTATTATTATTATTATTATTATTATTATCATAAGTGTTGCACAAATCATCGCAATGGGCCAGACCTGAAACAAAACCTCTTTCAACAATATAAGAACCAAACCGGCACAACTGTAAATCAGAAAAACCGGACAAACAAGTCCTGTCATGTCATGTCCACCTTGCACACCCTGACAAGGGGGACAACCGGTACCACTGCTCTGAGACTCACCACAGAATGCCAACATCAGGAAAGCCCACCTGGGGACCGTTTTTTATCCTTATGCCAGGAGGATGGGGGAGGATTGGGATTCCTAAAAGGGAAAATTAATCTTTCAAAATAGAAATCGTTTTTTATTTTTCGTAAAGAGTCTTACAGCACTTGCAACACAATAAGGTCACATAAGTGCCAAAGATTAGAAGTGTTGCAAGAGAGTAAAAAACACCAAAAAGGAGAGATGAGGACGATATTGATAAGAAAGAAGGAGCAAACCACACCAGAGCACCCGAAACGTTACAATCATGGTTTTGTAATATTGGGGGGGGTTATCATAGTAGACCGTTTTACGGCGCTCGCAACTGCATACGGTCATATGAGCGCCAAGGGGTGGGTGTCAACAGAGAAGTCTTTACAGGGAATCAGGCTTACTCTGCTCACCTCTCTAGCTTCAACATCACAAGGTCTGCTTCAATTATCAAGGCACCCCAGAAATAGCAGGTCACAAAAGTGACAAACATACAAAAGAAGTAGAGGAAAATGACAATATTAAGGATTAGGAAAGAAAAAGCAGCAGTTCCCTGTTGTAGATCAGGCACAGTTATGAGCATGACATGAATCAACCCATTTACAATTCTACTGTGCTTGAACAAGAAATGTCCCCCCTTTGGGAATGGCCTAAAGACACTTCAGTCAAGGGCACTGCCCCAGGGGGAGGGGGGGTGAGAAACCAACATGATTCTTTAGTTTAGTAAGAGTTTACGGCACTTGCAACACACTAAGGTCGTATAAGTGCCGAAGACTGAAGATAAGAGGTGTTACAAGAGAGTAACAAACACAAAAAAGAAGGAGAGGAGATAAAGACGATATATATTTGATAGGAAAGAAGAAGCAAACCACACCAGAGCACCCACCAACCATCCACAACATGATTCAGCCAAATATGTAATAACGGGCGACCTGCTACCTGCCCAGCACGTGGTCCGTACTCACCTTGGAGACAAAGACGCCCGGCTCATCCCCGCCGAACGGCTGACTGGAGTGGTCCACACCGCCGATGATACTCAGCCCCAGGGGTCCCCCGGCCTTCACGATGACCACATCCTGGACACAGAAGCAACAAAAATTCTTAGTTTTAGTACGAGTTTTACAACACTTGCAACACAATACGGTCATATTAGTTAGTTTTAGAAAGAGCTTTACGGCACTTGCAACACAATACGGTCATATAAGTTCGTTTCAGTAAGAGTTTTACAGCACTTGCAACACAGTAAGGTCATTTAAGTAAGTGCCGAAGAATAGATGATGTGTTACAAGAGAGTAACATACAGTACACAAAAAAGAAGGAGGGGAGATAAGGACGACAGATGTTTGATAGGAAAGAAGGAACAAACCACACCATAGCACCCGCCTACCACCCATTGAAAGAGATTAATAATAAAATTCCCTGATTTTCTTTCTTTGCTAATGGAGCAGTTTCTCTTTTTTAGTTTAGTAAAGAGTTTTACGGCACTTACAAAACAATAAGGTCATATAAGTGCCGAAGATTAGAGGTGTTACAAGAGAGTAACAACAAACGTAAAAAAGGAGGAGAGATAAGGACGATAGATGTTTAAGAGGAAAGAAGGAGCAAACCACACCAGAGCACCCGCCAACCACCCACGCAGTTTCTCTGATACGAAAACATGGCTTAACCAAAGAAAAATAAAGCTCACTGGGTGTAGGAAAACAGTGTAGCATTTACCTCTGGAGCCCTAGAATCACCCCCGACAACAGGTGTTTTAAAAAGGAGGGACTTTTTTAACTTTTTAGTTTTATTTTTAGTAGAGGTTTTGCGGCGCTCGCAACTGCATAAGGTCATATGAACGTCAGAAGATTAAAGGTGTTACAAGAGAGTAACAAACATAAAAAAGAAGGAGAGATAAGGACGATAGATGAGATGTTTGATAGGAAAGAAGAAGCAAACCACACCAGAGCACCCGCCAACCACCCACAAGGAGGGACTTAGAACTGTAAGACGAAAATGTACTCAGTTCATAACAATGACAGCCACACAAAACTTATCCCACACAAAATAGAAAAACATTTTTGGGAGGCACTCTAGTAACAAAGTCCAAGACAACAACTTGTCTGAGACAACCATTTTTCTCATCAACAATGGGTTTGGTTTTTTGTGGTCTTTTTAGTAGAGGTTTTACGGCGCTTGCAACTGCATAAGGTCATATGAGCGCCAAGGGGTGGATGTCAACAGAGAAGTCTTTACAGGGAATCAGACTTAGACTGCTCACCTCTCTAGCTTCAACAGCACAAGGTCTGCTTCAACTATCAAGGCACCCCGGAAATAGCAGGTCACAAGAGAGTGACAAACATACAAAAGAAGTAGAGGAAAATGACAATAGTAAGGATTAGCAAAGAAAAAGCAGCAGTTCCCTGTTGTAGATCAGGCACAGTTATGAGCGTGACATTGATGAATCAGCCCATTTACAATTCTACTGTGCATAAGTATGAGAAATGTCCCCCCTTTGGGAATGGCCTAAAGACACTTCAGTCAATGTACATAAAAAATAAACTACAGACAAAAGAAAAGAATAGGAAAACCATTACACAAGACAAATAATGTGTGTACTTACGGAGGATAAGTCCAGAAAAGTCAATTTTAACATGTCATACAATAAGAAATAGAGAGGTTTGACAAGCAGCCCAGAATAGCATCCCGAGACCTCTTAACAAAAATTATCCCCCCCCCCTCCCCAAATGTAAGTTTAGTAAGAGTTTTATTACACTCACAACTGCATAAGGTCATCCCCCAAAAATGGCAGAATACATATTTATAAATAGAGATAAGGACAAGTCTTACAAATGTTTTTTTTTTAATGTTTTATGCCCAAATTGACAAAATTTAGATCATTTAAGAGGCAGGCTTCAAACCTGCCTGTCAGCACTAACCTGGGCTGAGAGGGATGTAACATCTTAAAATTTTTGCAGAAAAACCAAGATAAACAATAAAAGTTACCCCCCATTTCGGAATTGAACTAAGGTCTTGTGCCTGTGACACTGAAGCCCCTAACTACTATACCAAAGACATAATTCTGAGTAAAGGGAAGAATACATAGAAATAGAGATGGAGACAATTCTTAGAAAAAGGGCAGAGACATAATAAAGACGGAGATAATTCTTAAAAAAGGGCAGAGACATATAAAGATGTAGACAATTCTAAGAAATGAGCAGACATAGAAATGAAGACGGAGACAATTCTTAGCAAAGGGCAGAATACACAGAAATAGAGAGATGGAGACAAAGTTGAAAGCTTCTCCCGTAGACAATCTCAGAGGTAACTTAGTTATCTTGAACATTTGAGGGGCAGGACAGAAACATTTATGAACCATATTGTTGGTCATTTTTATATGACGCCCGATAAGGCATGCATAAAGATATCAAAATATTATACATAAATTTTTAAGCAGAAGTATGTTAGTATATAATTATAAACACAGACAATTTTCAAAATCAAGATTTCCGGATCCATCTGGAGTATCAGCACCTCTGGGTTTTTAAAAACACAATGTTTTAACACTCCCCTGACAAAACAATTCAACAAAACAATTCAGACCATTCAGGAGGCGGGCCATTAGGGTCAAGGTTCATCCAGACAGTGAGAGACACACATCTTGGCAGAAAAACTCAACAGATACTCAATAAAATGTCCTCCCCCTATGGACATTGATATCCAAAGTCCTTTGAAAGAAAGGTGATGTGCAAAATAATTTTGTTTTAATTACACCTGACGCTTGAGAAAAGAATGTAGTACGACGTAAAGAAAATAAAGAAAAATTCTTTTAACATTTGGTGACCCCATCAGTGCTTTACATGACCCCTCCGTGCCACCCCTAGAACTCTTTTATGTCTGCCGAGATCCATCAAATCTTTTTGTTAATTTTCTAAAATGTAGGCGTTTCTTCGCTTATGCCCCCATCTACACAACTAAGATCATTTAGGAGGCGGATTGTTTTGACCTTGCCTGTCAGGGCTAACCCGAGCTTAGAGATCTTTGTTTTAGTATAGGTTTTACGGCGCTCGCAACTGCATACTGTCATATGAGCACCAAGGGGTGGATGTCAACAGAAAAGTCCTTACAGGGAGTCGGGCTTACCCTGCTCATCTCTCTAGCTTCAACAGCACAAAGTCTACTTCGACTATCGAGGCATCCCGGAAATTGCGTGTCACAAGAGAATGACAAAACATACAAAAGAAGTAGAGGAAAATGACGATAGTAAGGATTAGGAAAGAAAAAGCAGCAGTTCCCTGTTGTAGTTCAGAAACAGTTATGAGCATGACATTGATGAATCAGCACATTTACAATTACAATTCTACTGTGCATAAGAACATGGTTAATGTCCATCCTTTGGGAAACTTCAGTCAGTGGCACCATCCGGGGGGGGGGGGGGGGGGTGTGTGAGCTGAGAGAGAGAGACACAAGATCCCAGACAGAAAGTGTTGTAGAAGAACTCTTACTAAACCAAAGACAGTGAGAGTTCTGAGAGAGACCCTCTGTGGCTGCACATACCTCTATGGGATAAGGCTGAGGCGAGGCGGACGAAGACCTGAGCTCCACGTGGTTCGAGTCCGGCGTGCTGAGCGGCGTGTCCAGCGACGCTGTGGTGGTGCTGGCGGGCACTCTACCCTCTCCACCAGCGTCCCGCGAGGAGAAGCCCGGGGAGGTGGAGCCGAGGTGGGCCGGGGCGTGCGCAGTGCGCGACACCTGGAGCACCACGGGGGACAGGTTCAGAGTCTGTGAGGGGGGGAGGCTCCCCGAGGGAGGGGAGGAGGAGGAGGAGGGGGGAGAGGAGGAGGAAGTCCTGGAGGTGGTGGTGGTCGCGGTGATAGTCACTGAGCTCACCGTGGACGGGCTGAACACGGAGGAGTAGGAAGGAGGGGGCGCCGAGAGGGGGGCGGAGGAGGAGGTGGTGGGGAAGGAGGAGGAGGAAGAGGCTGCCCCAGCTGCTGCCGTTGTTGTCGTGACCGTTGCCGAGGGTGATGATGACAGCAACGACGAAGACGGCGAAGAGGATGACTGAGATACCGTGGATGTTTTGCTAAAGCCCGGGTACACAAACTTGGGCGGCTGTACCGAGGTGGCCGGGGCGGACCAATCCGAGGAGAGAGGGGGCGCCACAGACTTGTTGGCTCCGTACTTGGGCGACACGGGAGACGCAGACGGCACCGTCTGGTGATTGGCCGGCGACGTGGGCGTGGTGGCCGAGGGGGAGGAGCCTAGTGTCAGAGTGACAGCTGCCGGCTGGCTCAGATACGAGTACGAGGTCGGCACAGCTGATGAGAACGGGCTGGCGGAGGAGGGAGGAGGAGGGGAAGTAGAAGAGGAAGGAGGAGTGTGGGGGGCTGCGGCCGGCGAAGAGGCAGCAGCCGATGACGTGACCGGGGACGTTTGGAGCGTCGGGCTCGCCTCCACCGCTGAGAAGCGATTCGGGCTGTAGCCCGAACCAATGGCCGATGTAGCCGCGGGCGACACGGGGCTGGACAACGGGCGTCCCGACACAACCGTGCTGCTGGAGGTCAGCGCGACCCCGAGCTCCGTGGGCAACGGAGAAGGCTGGGCTCCGGCCGGGCTGGGGGTGCGCGGGGCGGGCGAGGGGGCGCCACCCACGGTGCTGTGCTGCTGCCAGTTGATGACTGGTTGAGTGATGCGAGGGATCTTGTGGCTGCCGGGGGGCAGGGGTTCGGTCACCTCCCCCTTGGGCACTATCTTCTCACGGTAGACCACCAGGCTGATGGTGCGGTCGAGGCCGGTGAGGAGGGACACCGCCTGGTCGTGTCGGGCGTCTGC